TTAATTCTTTTTTCTCTTACAAAAGTAGGAAAAAAACCAGATATGGTCTTTGAAAGTCTGTGTTTTATACTTTTAGAATAAAAATACTTTTCTTGGTTAAATGAGTTTTAGCTCTTTACACGCAGATGAAAGAGTGAAATTGTGTTTTTTCCTAAAATGATGCCCACCTTCATTCATAGTAGAAGAAACCAAATACAGCCTCTTTCTTTCTTGCCCAAATATAAGTTTGGACCTCTTTCCCTAATTTTAATATTCTACTAAAACTTTTCTCCTAAGTCTTTAGACAGATTCTTTATATTTCCTAGAAAATTTGATATTATCTAATTTTATATGAGTACTTCAGTAAGTTTATGGAAAAATAGAGTTAAAAGATAAAACAGATCTTTCCGTGATCTTTTTGAAGACCCCGTCGTATTTATGGTTATCTCCTTTCAAATCTTTTGATGTGGCTAATAGGAAGAAAGAATATGTAATACAATTTGCATAAGATAAGACTTCCTAGTGAAGGACTAAGAACTCATTATTTAATTGCCTGGGGGCTAATAGTAACTAATTGAGTGTTGGCCGCCAAAAAGTTCTAGTTGGTGCAAAAAGAAGCATGCCAGTTGACCAAGAGGCAGAAGGCGTGTGCACGTGTTTTTAAAAAAAAAAATAATAAAAGGCCGTGCAGGGGGAGGAACATACACCACGTTTGAGAAACGGAGAGACCAGTGTACATGGAGTATAGAGAGTGGCATAGTATGAATTGGATAGGACAGGCAGTGATCACGTCACGGGGAGAAAGCACTGGATTTTGGTATTTATCTTAAGAGCAGTGGGAAGCAATTGAAGAGCTTTTTCTAAGGGGGATGTTTTGATCTGGTTTAGTTATTTAAGTATCACTGGCTGCTGTGGGGGAGGGGACAGATAGCAAGATTAGGATGAGCAGCTTAATTAGGTGATGTTATTGTAACTGTCTAGGCTGGTGGTCTCTTAATTTTTGAGCATACTTCCTAATACATGTGTGTTTATTGTTTTTGTATATGTACTTTGGTGTTGACGTATTGCATACATAAAACAAAAAAAAAAGTAAAGAGGATGAGAAAAAGTAACAGAGATAGAAGTGCTACTATTTTCTCCCTTGCTCTAGTACATGTGAAGCTTCTGGGATATATGTATCCCACTTTGAACATTAGAGAGGTCGTAGAATAAGATCGTTGGCAATGAAGACAGGTTGGAGAGAGAAATTAGGAGGCTGCGTTAACAGGACTTGGGAATTGGTCAGATAGTAGAAGTAAAAGAGAAGGAAGGGGTAGGGAGAGTCCTCGATTCGTTTTGTGTATCTGAATAGATAAAAGCGCTGGTTAGAGAGTTAACAAATACTCTAGTAATAAGCTAATCTTGTTTATTAAAGTAGCATTCTACCAAAATGGTGTTTTCTCTGAGCGTATACTTAATAATGCCTTTAGTAACAAAGGGCCAGGGGGGCATGGTGAAGTGATTTGATGGGCAGGTCTTGATCTGTGCTCAGGAAGAGGAGGCAGAAAAGTGAACGTGGGGACAGGGTTTACTCTTATCTCAGGAAGCATTAGGATATGACAGGATTGGTAAATTATAGACTCATCAACTTCTAGGTGACTCTTCAAGTGTCTTTAACTAGGGGCGGAGTCATTCATTCCACAGCTAAAAATAAATTGCTTACAAAACAGGTGGTGGACTGAGGATCATGTTAAGGCTATTGCCAGTGTGGTATAATAGATGATCAGCAACTTATCAACTGTTAGCTGTCATTTTCATATTTGCTTAGAAGGGGATAAAATGCATCTGAGGCCATAGGTTGGGGGAGGATTACAAGAAATGAAGGAGGGAAAAATTAAATCATGTATACAGTTCTGCACAAAATTGAGTAAAAATGAGAGTTCTTTCTATATGATGGTATTTTTTTATGTGTGGCTGTAGATGTATGATGCTCCATTTTCTGAGATATACATGTATTATTAAAGGTTTTCTTTTACTTAAAAGTACAAATATATTTAAACAGAATTTGAAATACTTTTGAAAATGTTTCAAAATGCCACTTTAAAAATCCTATTGCTTTGAATAAAATTTGTTTATAATTCAATGTCTCCTAGCACAGTGCCCTGCAATATGGTACCTGTTTTTTTCTGAATGCAGGCAACCATACCATTGCAGTGTTTGCCTCGCTTCTATTCTAGATACTTTAGAATAAACACAAACACATCTACTTTCACTCTCTCTCAAAAATGTGTAGTAGAACTTTGCAATCATGAGAGAAATACCTGGGGCCCTTATTGGTGGTAAGTGTGAACACCACTGCTTTGGATGCTGATGTTGCTGGCCAGCTTTACAGAGTGCAAATCAAATTCAAACATTTCATTTAATCCTCAGAAAAAATGCTGAGGTGGGTAATATCCCCATTACAAATTGCCTTGGGACTAACTGCTAATAGTGGGAACCTCTAATGTTAAAAGCATGAATGCCAAGGGTCTACTGTAGTGCTTATATACAGTAATGCTGATCAGATCTAAGCAGCCTGTCACTTTCCACTACTAATATCTCACTCTGGGTTTCTACATTCCCTGCTCATAAAGGCACTAATGGTGAAGGTTGTTAAAGGGAGGGGGAAAGCGTGAAGGATGACTGTTTCACAAACTGCATTAGAAATAAATGAACAACTACGACTAGACTATATTTAAGGTCAGAGTGGCTGATGGAGGTGGTCATTTCTCTTTCTACTATAAATATTAAATTTTACACTTTTGATATATTTTAACCTCCTCAGTTCATGCTATCCTTTAGGGCCCATCCTAATTTCTATTTTAATATGGTTAACTTAAAGAGAAATGTGTTTTCACAGATAAAATGTAAGGTATATGGAACATCAGTGCTAGTCCTAAAACTGTGCCGAAATCATCATATCACTAAATTACTAAACCTGAACAATGAATGTTCTTTCCCATTTTCTACCCTTTTCCCCGACTTAGTGGAGAAAGAGTTAATGGCATCAGTATTAAGCAGGAAGCATTGTCTGCCTTATGCATATGATGCAATGAATTATTTAGTATCTTCGGGAAGTGCAAACTGCAGTAGAATCCAAGCAGCCTCATCGGAAATCAGATCAATATTTTTCGTGACGGTATGAAGTAAAAATCAGTGGAAAGAAGATGCTTATAGATACCACGTACAAGAGTGTGGCTGAATAATTTAAATTGTGAGAAAGACTGGGAATTTTTGGTTGAAATGTTTTGCCTTATGCAGTGATAATGGTTTACCTGCATTCTGACAATTGTCAGATGACTTTTTGCCAAAATGATTGGTAATGGGATGTGGCAGTTTCTCTGCTGTCAGAGACGAGATAATTTCTCAGGTTTTTCTTGTAAGTTTTTTTTTAATTGTACTTATGTGGTTTTTTCCCCCCTTTAAATATGGATTAAAGGAACAAGAGGGTAAAACCTGAAGACTAGACATGTGTATTTAATAAAGGTTTTATAGAAGTAGCCATATATAAGCATCGGTAAGACAGGTTTTTCTTAAAGCAGTTTAAATTTAAAATATAGTTACGGAAAATTTTCTAAATTGTTTATCTCCTGATCTCATCTTAGTAGGTATTTTATATGTATGCCTGTTGTTTTCTATATTTTATGTCATTACTATGAATATTGTGCATGCAACTTTAATCATAATAGATTGGGTGGTTGGGAGTACTTGGCAAAGGTGACATTTATCAATCTTATTTATTTTGTTTGTGTTTGCAAATATCTGCTGTATGTATTATTTCTAAAGCAAGACTTAATTGGATTATGTTAAATCTAATTTCTAAAAATGATGAAAAATCTCTTGAATATTTAAGACTTACTACCCCTTTCAGATGTACATTCTTTAAATATAAATGGGTTTGGTTCTGATTCTGCTGAAACTTCTTTAGTTAGCATGAGTTGTATTTAAAGAATACAGTTTTGGGGGAAATCTAAAATACTGTCTTGTTTGCCATTATGTGGTCTTTGTTAAGTCAATATATTTTTAACCCATTAATGGTTTCTTGGTTAATACCAATGAAAAAAAAATCTTTCCCATGCTGAAAAGAATTTCTTTAGGATTTTACAAAAAGTTATTGATGTAAAGTTTTGGATGTCACTAATGTAATAGTAAAAAAGTACATTTTATTTTTATTTTTCCCATCCTAATTTTCAATGTCACCTTGATTTTAGATAAGCCCTCCTACTTTTCATAAACTATCACTTGCTCATTGAGTTTTTTCCTCCTAAAAAGAATTTACTTTGTTACAGTAAACTAAACTTTAATGTAAGTACCCTATCAATTAATGGCTAATTGATGCAGCCACACATTTTTAATAAGATTTTGTCAAATATGTATATATACTGGAAAAAAAAAGTAAAATGTGGATTGGTAAAACAATGAATAGCTGATCTTTTTTCAAAGTGCGAAGCAAAGATATTCTTATTTTATATCAATGAATATAACACTCTTTTAATTGCAGTAGGTTGTTTATAATGGCTTTGGTTCTTTTCCAACTAGTAGAAATGAGTTAATCTCATGTTAAATTAATCTTAAGCATTTTACCTAAATTTTTTTCTGATGCAGTTCTCCTAAATGAGAGAGTATATAGCTCATGAAATTAACTCAAATGGCCATAGATCCTGACTTACTATATCTCATCTCCATTAACTTTTCCTAAAATGCAGATTGCACTTTTTTGTTATATAACTCAGGAAATAATTAAACTATAAGTGCATCATTTGAACTATGGCCTGTTATAGTAGGTCTTTTCCACAAATAAGATTACATATAAAAATTTTTAAGAGCTTATGTTAAAGAGGATACGTTTTTATTAAATTACAGAGCTTCCAGAATGAGGATCTAGATAGGACGTTATGTATAAATACATTTTGAACATTTCAAAGCACCTTTTAGTTTATATGAAGTTCTTCAGATGGCCCCGTTGTCCTTTGAAGCTTCTAACACCAAGGTGTCTGTTGCAGCCCAGAGCAAGGTTACTGCTACCCAGGACAGCACTAATTTGCGATGTATTTTCTGTGGTAAGCAACATTATGTTTACATTACTTTTTCAAGCTGTGGTACATACTACTTGCACATTTCCATAACTTTTGTTTCCTTAGGCCATAGTCTGGTTTGTGGTATTTAGGATAGTTAGCAAGCTACTGTTTTTATGTTGTGGTATTCGTTGTGGTTCATGTAGGTGATTTGGTCAGCTTTTGAGTTAGCTTGTTAGTGAGGATTTAGTTAGGATTAGGATATTAAAACTACTCTTGTCCACCTCTTCCAACACAAATGAGAGAGGTTTTTGTTTGTTTTTTCTTTTTAACTATTTTGTTTGGGAGCAAACTTTTAATTTAGAATTTAAGGAAAAAATTTATATTCATCTTAACATGATTTGAGGATGTAAGTGTACCTTATTCCAAGAGAACTTTTGCATAACTTGAATTAATTTTACATGTGCATGTTGTGAGGCAGATGTAAACTATTACTTGCTTTAATAGGTTGATTTTTGATCGACAGTCTCCTTTATTCAGTAGGGTAGATATCTGTGGGTTAGGAGTGAATTTAGGCTTACAGAGTGTTTTCTTTCACTCTCATTGTCATATACACACGTGTGTACATATATGTATTGTCTGCATGGACAAACCAGATATGTTACTTAACCACCCCAAATTAGAGATAATCAGATGTATACATATCCTTATCCTTACACAAGGACATCTCTTTCTATATATATAGATACTAGAGAGAGATATATCCTTGTCTGAATTCTTTTTACCATCATTTGATTCTGAAGCTTTCTGGTTTGAAAACCCAAGTTCCAAAACGTGATTTTTTAATTATTTGAGCTTTTTTTTTTGACTCCTATATGCCTTGAGTAGCCATATTATTTTGTGAGAAAAGTTATAAAATGATATTATAACTAAAGTAATATCATTTAATAACTAAAATAATACTGTTAAAATTTTGTATAAATACTTCAGCTATGTGTATGTACTTTATCCATGTGACTCAGGATTTTTAATGTGATTCCTCAGTATTATTGATATTGTTTCTTTACCTATAAAGAGAATCATTTTTAAATTTACATACTTACCGGTTTAGGCAAAGAAGCATGTATTGTAAATTTAAAAGACAGAAAGAAAATTCTAATGTATTTCTTAATCACCTAAAGTTATATTTGCTCCAGGTGACACAGTTGCTGTAGTGGGTCTATTGCGTGGCTCTTTATAAATTGCTCCTCTCCTTCCCAAATTCCACAATTAAGCATTGCAGATAAAGTATTTAATCACTAAATTTTATTTCTGGTTTTTCTGCCTCCTCCTGGGGGTTCTTCTACGGCATCTTTTGAACTATATGATTGATCACTGGTATTTGCGTTATTAGGACTCTCTTTAGCTCATTTTTTACTTGATGTTCTGTACCTTTATACTTTATATGTTGAAGGTCCACATGCAGAATAATAGATAATTTACCCAAGTGCAGAGAAAGATTGATTTGGCTTTTATAATAAAGGTAAATTTTTTAAGTTGTAAAATAATGTGTGAAAAAGCGGATTTCCCCAATTATTACCTTTCATTTAACTGTGTACAAACAATATAATTGCCACTCTAAGTTTAAACTTGATTGTATTGTGTATAGTAACACCTATTTGTCTTATAGTTTTGTGTTTTCAAATAGTCTGTGGCTAAGTGTGAAACTAGATTTGTTAAAATTAAAATGTGACAGTAAGTGAATTGTGCTTTAACCAAAACTTAGTATTGAAGGCAAGACTGAAATGCTATTCCTGTTTTGTTTTATTTTTTAAATCTATTTATTTATTTAAAGACGACCGGCAAGGGGATCTTAACCCTTGACTTGGTGTTGTCAGCACCACGCTCACCCAAGTGAGCCAACCGGCCATCCCTATATGGGATCCGAACCCGTGGCCTTGGTGTTATCAACACCACACTCTCCCAAGTGAGCCACGGGCCGCCCCTCCATTCCTGTTTTAGAGAGAGATTCTAATCTGATTTTCATCATTTTTAGGACACTATGTCAGTGACATTGCCACATTTTCTTATTAGAAACAGCAATTCACAACTCTGCTTTGTATCATCTTTTTCTAGCCAGGACAAATTAAGATCAACCATTGTCTTTGGCTGTATGAAACAGGGAGAGAACTAACCCTCAAACTGCTACTGTTCTTTATGCTGACATAGTAGGAACAAAGCAGGCTTACTCATTTCTTAACTTTGGTTGTTCTCTCTCTCTTCTTTTTTCCCCAAAAGAGAGCTACTAACCACCACATCATGCTCATAGAATGTTATTCGCCCACTGAAATTGTTATGAAAATACCTATTTTGTATTTTATGAGAACACAGGTACACATTTAGGAGTATGACCTATGTGAAGTAATAGTTATATTCCAGAAAATAGTGGCAGGTGACAGCCTTGCCTAACCTTAGTTGCTTCTTCATCTCATGTGTGGTGCCATTGGCATTAATTCCCAATTTTATAACACATTAGAAACTCCGACAGGAAGGAAAAATGTTATTGTGTAACTTAAGTTTAGAATTTACCTGGATCTCTTTTATTTAGTGCTTATAGTATATTTGTTAGTCTTTAAAGGCACATAAATTTCCATGTGCTAGTTATTCCAATTTAACAAAACAACCAGATTAAATATACCAGTAGATGTGAGAAAATGCCAAGGGAAGGAATTCTTGCAACTCCCCAATCCCATTTAAAGAATGTCTGGAAAGAACAATAACCCATTATCACAAAGAACCATGTAGAAAAGAATTGTGTAAGAGTTGTTCTTGGATCAAACTTCTCTGCATTTTTAAAGGATCTTCTTTGAAGTTTTTTTTCTTTCTCAACTGCGGGAATAACCATAGTAAATCACTTTTATAATTAATGGTATCAGCCACAAAATAATACCCACATTTTAAAAAGCTTTCTAAACAGGTTTGCTGAGTAAGCTTTTAAAAATCTTAAAAAAAAAAAAAAAAGCAAACAGGTTCTGTGAATTGTGAAAAGAATTTTTTCTCATTCAGTTTGTTTTGTGAGTTATATCAAACTTTTGTTAATTTTTTAAAAACCTGTTCAATAAAATCAGTAGGATTGAGTTGAAATTTTGACATCTATTTCTTGAGTTTATATATTTGAGTTAAAACTTATATTTTAACTGGCTAATTTAATCCACTGATATTACCATTGAGGTATAATGCCTATCCTAGATATGTGTAGTATGACTACTTTGAGGTGGATGACAGACAAGTCTAACCTTTTAACGTACAGGTGTTTATTTAAGTAGTCTGAAGTTTTAACTTAAATTCTCAAGTAAACGTTTAAAAAAATAGTTAAACCATAACGGTCTTGAGAGTTGCCATACTAAATGCTCGCATTTAGTAGTTTTGGATAAATATAACTTTGGATAGGTAAAGGCTGTCCCCCAGAAATTATATCTTTTCTCAAAGTTACCTTTCCACCTTGTATGTCACCATCTTTGTGCCAGAAGAGAAATCTTTTCCCTGTAAAAGCCCTGCATGGCCAAATATAACAGTCTATTTTTACATCATTATGTTAGTCTCCTAAGGAAAGAATTCTAGTCTGTTTTCTAGACAACAGTTTTATATATTTTCATGTATGCAAACGTTTACACGTGTATTTAATTTTAATTTCAAGAGCTTTTTGTTGTTGTTACTGATTATATGGGGTTGATATATTTTTATATTTCCTTTATTTTGTTCTCAAAATAGCAGACTCTTTTAGGAAATTTAATGAAATATATCACTGCATTTGTCATCTAATTTGTCTTTAGGGGACAAATTAAATGATTAATCTAAAAACGTTTGTAAAGAGGTGAGAAAAAAGTTAGGAGGTAAGTTCAGATCAAATTGTTTCTGTTTTTCTACACATGGGATATACCAGTACTACATCCTTATTAATACTTATTATAGTGTTATTAATATGATTATGTTGAACCTTTACTTTTAGCTGTCAAGTCTACTACTATAAAACAGAAGTTTGTGCTATTAGCTCATAGATTACAAGAATTTGCTTCAGTACACAGAAACATTTATTTACTAACTTTTTTATACTAGTGATGTACAAAAATCTTTTAAAGTATGTGCTAGGGGCATTTGCTGGCACACTACAATATATGAATATATGTAGTATATCATTAGGTGATATATTAGGTCCAGTATTTAACTTATTTAGGACACATTTAATTTTTATGTCCAGTGATATTAAGATGTCCCATAATTTAGTGGCATTCTATCTAAGATGCTAAAAATGGGTCTGCATTGTACATGATATGTGGGAGTGGATGGTCATTAGTTTATCATGACAGAACCATGTTGGTGTGAATGCAGATTTTTTTTCTTCTTATCCCAAGTGAGTTCTTAAGATTACCTCTGTTACAATAAAAATTCAGATAAATAGGTTGATTCTTATATGGAAGTTTAGTAAACATTTGTTTTCACCAGAACTGGAAATGCCAGGCCAGCAAACAAAAATGGCAGCTTAAATTGGGCAAATTTGATAAATGCATTAGCATACTTCAGTCTAGTAATAAGGTTCTCATGCTCTTTCTCTCCTGTTTTTCATTTCCAGTGTTCTATTTAGGTGAGTTTTTGAATTCTGTTTTTTCATTTGAGTTCTCCCTTTCCACTTCATGAATAATTTCCCCAAAGAGAATGTCTCATTGTCTTAGAAAATGTCAAGCTTAGGTGCCTATTCAGATGCTCATTGAACACTTGTTTTACTCAAGCTCTTCATATATAAATGTTTATTTTTTCTTTATTGTTGATGTTTTCCATTTGTTTCAAGTAAGCCCTCTGGAGATGATGACAGTATTATGTTGCAGTCTTTTCATTTGCTGTGTGTTATATAAAGCTTATATTTTATTTTGCTAGACAAAAAGAAGATACATTCGTAAATATGTGATGGTTTTATGTTACTCTCATGATTTTATCTCTTCTCTCCAGCTAGATATAAAGATAATGTTCATCTCTAATGTTTTCCTCCCTTTATAGGGCCAACATTGCCTAGACAAAATTCACAACTACCTGCCCAAGTTCAAAATGGCCCATCCCAAGAAGAATTGGAAATTCAAAGAAGGTAAATTCACTAGTTATTGTTTGTACTATTGTTTTCTACTGCAGAAGACCAAACCATGAACATCCTAATACTGAATCTGCTACCTAATCTACTGAAAGTAGATTATGTCTCGTCAGATGTTTGAAAGTCACAACTTTAATTAGTAAGTTTTGGAATCGCTGTTAATAAGTGACTAGATACTTGTTATGCTGAACACAAGATGTTATAAAATTTCATACTTTTTTTTTGTAAATATCATACTTATGGTACATTTAAAATATTTCAAGTACAGTTAACAGCATAAAAATGTCTATGCTTCAAGAAGTCTTATTTTTATTAGTCCTAAAGTAATCGGTAACTAGTGTGGCTTTCACATGACTAATACAGCGGGAAAGTTGAAATAGTGTTGGCTGGTTCTGTAAGGCATTCATCTTCAGATATTGCCATAGGGTTTAATAGTAGAATACAGAATCATTCTGTTTGACTAAGTGCTGATTGAATGAAGTTGATAACATTGTGTTCATTTCAATGCAGTCTAGAAATACACTTGAAATTTATAATACAGCCTTGTTTAGTGGTTGTTTTTTCTGAGTTGGCAGAGTCTGAATTATAAGCCACTTTGTAACAAAGTAGTTTTATAAAATTCAGGTACATTCAGTAACTAAAATTGAGCTAGTCTAACCAAGTATCTCAAATTTTAAATAAAATGAAAACTTTTTAGAGATGCTGATGTTGCTTTTCATCACTAGTAGGTCGTTTCTGTTTTGTTCAGGAGAGTCAATAACCTTTGTTGGTAGATGGACCATTGTATGATGGATTTTTCCAATTGAGAAGCGTTTGCTCCATGGCAAGCCAGTGTTTTTCTTATTGTGACCTTTGATTTGAATTTCACCTTGAAAACATTCTTTTTACTCTCTATGTTGTCTTAATATATGTGTCATCTTCCCCTGACGGCCAGTAAAAGTGATTTCTTGTTATGGTTCAGTTAGCTGCTTTGGAGTAAAACTACTTAACTCTTGACTAAGGCCCCGGTAGGATCTTCCAAAATGAATTTTGTTTTGCCACAGAGCCTATATTCATATATTCAGTCAGGTCACTCTAGAAATAGCCTCCAAATTTGGTGAAAATCCATCTACAGTGATGCTGTAACAGATATAAATAAAATTGTTTCTGTAGAAATAAGGTAAGTTTAAAGGATATAATGATTTCAGTTCCATTTTGAGAGTTTTTTAAAACATAATAATTCCAAGAATTAGGAATTGTAATGATGCTGTTGTGTGTGTTTTAACAGAAAAGTAATTATTAAACAATGACCATAGTATTATCGAGAGTAACACATTTGTGATGACTAGGAAGAACTGGGAGAGAATGCAAAACATAGTAGATAATCTCGCATCATTCAGAGTAGGCAAGCAAGTAATTTCTGAGAGTTGGTGGAGGCCAGAATTGTACAGGATAGAAACAGAAACTATTTAAGGTTACTGCTGACTTGTTAAGGTTCACAGATGGATGATCCACTGCACAGAGGGTTGTCAAGAACTCTGACTTGTAAGTTTGGTTGAAAATGGGTATTGAGTGAATTTGTAGTAATTGTTATGAAAACCCCATGTCTCGTGTAGATTATTTCTCCTACCAGATTGCCAACTCCAGCCCCAGCAGTGCTTATCTGGACTTGAGGTTTTCCTGTTGTGTACACTACTCATTGTTTAGTTGAAAACTTTAATTCAGTCTTTTTTTTTTTTTTTTTTTTTTGACCTTTTGAGACCAGCCGCACTGCGCTCAGCCAGTGAGCGCTGTAAGCGCACCGGTCATCCCTATATAGGATCCAAACCCGCGGCGGGAGCGCTTCCGCACTCCCAGCGCTGCACCCTCCGGAGTGCACCACGGGCTCGGCCTATTGTTTTTTTTTTGTTTGTTTTTTTTTGTTTTTTCTTAAAAGATGACCGGTAAGGGGATCTTAACCCTTGACTTGGTGTTGTCAGCACCACGCTCACCCAGTGGGCCAACCGGCCGTCCCTATATGGGATCCGAACCCGTGGCCCTGGTGCTATCTGCACTGCACTCTCCCGAGTGAGCCATGGGCCGGCCCCTTAATTCAGTCATTTTGAAGAGTGAAATACAGACTTCTGAAAAATTGGTATGAATTTAAAAATCAGTTTCTGTTCATAGTCATGCACAAGATTCTTTTTTCTTCTAGATGCACCTTCCACAAGACACCAGTCAATTTCTTTCCTCTCCCTTCCTTCTCTTTACTCTCCACCCATTTCCTTTTTAACCTTGTGAAATCTTTTTGTTTCCACTAATCTCCCAGACTGACTTCAAGTTTAAATTTATTCTCCTAGTCCACATCTGCTGTTTGTCTGTCTTACTTTGGTACTTTAGAGTCTCTTCTTGTTGCTAGCTCTTCTCCTTTTCTATCCTTTTCTGCACCTCCTTTTTCTTACAGAAGAGTTTGTGCTAGCTATTTGGGTTTTTTCCTTTCTTCACACAGTTTACCCTTTGGAAAATTGATGCTTTGGTTGGATATTGAAGTTTTTTTTTTTTTTTTTTAACACTAACTTCTGTGTTGATGACTTCCAAATCTATAGCTCCACCTGTAATCCTCCACTTGAGATCCAGACCCATATTTCTAGCTGAATAGAGTAGAGTCATGGACGCTTTTGAGAATTTGGTGAAAGGAGGGGATTACCCCCCCCCAGTCCTTCAGATAGATATGTAATTACAAAAACTCATGTACTATTTCTAAGTTGTACACCCCCTCAGTTCTAACTATGGATCCTCAATGAGAATTCCTGTTGTAGAGCTCATCCATTTGGATATCCTGACTCCTTAATTTAAACTCATGATTTCATCCTTAGTGTACATTCTTCTCTTTAATATTTCTCCCAAGATTTCAGCTTAGAAACTGTGTAATCATTGTCATTCACTGTATCTATTCAAGTATACCTTGTTATTTTTTTTCTCTGAAATCCCGATGGATTTATTCTTCTGACATTCTTACTATTAATAGTTTTCTCCAGTATTTATTGTCTTACATACTTCTATAGTTTGCTAGTTGATTATTCTGTCTTTACCCTAGATTCCTATCAGTTGTTCTTACTTTATTACTGCCAGATTAATTTTCCTTTGACTTTTTCAGACCTGGCGTAGAAAATCTCAGCACAGAAGGGTGTAAAATGGGATTGAGGGGACTTGCTATACGACTGTGTTCTTCCCTCATTCTAATCCCCAGAGTTAATCAGTTTTAACCATTTCTACTTTTAATACAGCTGGTGACTCCCTCCATAAGATTAACCAATATGTTTACATTTCTGTTTATTGACTAACCAAGTTATAAATAGTAGCTGTTGACTGTCCACTCTGAAAAATGAAGAATTCTTTACTTTCTTTGCCAGTTATTCACAGTCATTATTCTTAGTTCTGTTGTTGGTTTCTTTTTCAAATTGAACCTGTGTCTTGACTTTAGACAATTATCTCTTCACTACTCTTTAAAAGGAATATAGTAGTCCTGCACATTTCCCTGTCCCTCCGCTGTCCCACCATCTGATTTTGGCTGCATATCATTACTCTGTTTTGAAGGTTTATGCATTTGCAATCTTTTCTGTAACTGTCATTAAATCTTTATGTCTGTAGGTGATCTTTTCTACCTTTCTAGGATCCTTTTAAATTTTCTCCTGTTAGTCTGAGTTTTCACAAAGATGTGGCTAGATATGGTTTTGGGTTATTTTTGTATTTCCCTGCCATTTCTCTGCTCAATACTTACTGGAATTTTTCCATTTGAAGACTTATCTACAACTTTTTAAATTTTTAAAAATATTTTATTTCTTTGGCCATCTTGTTCTCTCCACTTTCTCTGTTGTCTTTTTCCGTACTAGGCTTGGGTTTTCTTGTCCATTACGGAGGCAGAGCGTGTGTTTATTAATCAGCTTGGTATTTTTGCTCTGCCCATTCCTATTCTCTCTGCCTGCCTCTACCCTCCAGGTCTATCTTTCCCAGGTTCTTCTTCCCAATCTGCCTCAACCATTTTCAGTAGGTATTGTGGGCTATGGATTCCTCTACTGCTCAGTCCAATCACTTCCAGGCACTGTATGCTCCAAGTGCTTAGGGTAGATATATTGGGATGGGGTGGGGTGGGGGGCAAAAGCCTTAACCTGCTCAGACAGTGAACATGACATAGTGTATAGGAGATGATAAGCACTATGAGAAAAGAATAGAGCAAAGGGGATTATATGTTGTGGAGGGACGGGGGGAGTGCTGGTTGTAATTTTAAATAGGTTGGTCAGGACACATCTTATTGAGATGAAACAGTGGAATTAGCCAAGCAGGTATCTGGGTAAGTGCATTCCATGTAGAGGGAGCAGTAAGTGCAAAGGCCTTAAGGCAGGATTGTGCTTGTGTGTACAGAGGAGAAGGAGAAGGCCATGGAATCTAGAGCAGAGAGAACAAGAATAGAAGAGGAGAGTAGTAGGAGACGAGGTCAAAGGTAATGGGGTCAGGTCATGCAGGACCTTGCAGGCTATTGTAAACAATTTAGCTTTTATTCTGAGAGAAAGGAGGGACCATTGGACAGTTCTGAGCATAGGAATGATCTGACTTAACATTTTAACAGAATCATTAGTCTGGCTGCTCTGTTGAGACTGGACTTTAGAGAGACGAATGGAGGCAGGTGCAAAGTTGTGACAGCAGCTCAAGAAGAAATCCAGTGGAGGCTGTTGCAGTAAAGTAAGCAGGAAATAATGGTGGTTGCCACCAGGTGATGGAGGTGGTGAGAAGTCAGATTTTCATGTGTCCTTGTGGATTGTATGGTGGGGTATGAGAGAAGGAGAGGGGTTGGAGTTTCTAGGCTAAGCTAGTGGGAAGGATGGAGTTGCCATTAACTGAGGTGAGTAGAGCAGGTTTTGTTGGGGGGATGTCAGAGATGAATTTTGAGGATGTCACGTTGAGGTGTTTATATGGCATCCACATAGAGATGTTGAATAGGTATGCTAGTCTATTGGAGACTAGGAAAGATATCTAGACAT